CTTGAATATGTTCTAATGTTTTGTAAAAAGTATTTTTTTAGTTCATTCATTCACTTACAGTTATTACATTGTCACATAGGTACTATAACGTTTTGCCTTAGAGTGAAAACCTCGCATACGCGTTCTCACATAGTTCGTTTTTACTGATTTTTGTTGAAGAAAAACATGACTCAAATAGTTCAAATACATTATTAAAGTAATATGGTATCTGAAAGAGGTATAATTTAACTCATTAAATTGCTAACTACAAACATTATTGCGTTTACTACATTTTACACCACATTTTTATATTCGTCCTGAAAAATTACATAGAAATCACATACGATGTATGTACTCTAAGACGACGATAAATTAAATGTGCTGAAGATCTTATCTAATTGCGCAACTAATTATGAGTGAATATAGCTTGGAAAACAACGTAAACATAGGTACATAAAATTGAACTTAAAAACAGTAACTTAATTTTAAAGAAGTATCGGTAAAAGTAATACAAACAAACACTAAAAACAAGTGAGCAATGGTCATGAATAGTCCCACACTAAATAGGAAAAACAATATTTAGTAAAAATAAATTCAGGTTTAAGATAATAATACCATTAGGAAATTTGTGTAACGACTGCCAAAATATGACGCTAACCTGACTGTGCTGATTATGATTATTATAGTCTAGTATCCTACAAATCCTTGTGACACTGGAATTAAAGTCCAGAACAGTCTTGCAGGTATCTTGAGAGAATTTTGAAGTTAAATTTGGCGAGCAGTTCTGGACAGTCTATGTTCGAACGCAAAATTTTACATAGAAATATTAAATGTAATAAATAGAAATATTAAATCTAATAGTTCTCCTTTCTTTGCAAGGGTGATAGTATTTTGAAATGCAAGTCTATCAGAATACAACCGCAGCTTTCTGGCTAACCCTACTGAGTACTATATAGAAAAAAGTTTTCTAAAAACTGTTGTAATAAGTTAAGCAGCGTGTTTTTAGGTATTACTAACATTTTCTTTAAAATATTGTAAGTACAAATTCAGCTTCTTTACGATTTTATGAAAAGTCAATATAAATTTTAGCAATAATTGTTTTGCATTTAATCATTTCTATCTGTATATAAGTAATTAAAAATTTATAAAGGGCCTCATCATGTGTCAAGTTCTCGCCGCTGCGGCGTCGTAAAGTGAACATTACAAAGAATACATAGCAGTCGGACATTATTGATTGAATCAGAGAGAGTCCTATTCAAACATCGCCATTGTTTCTCTTGTACGTAAAAATGGTACCTACTCCTGTCAAGACGTCGCTGTTGCTCGTCTGTCGGGAGGTACAGCATTGTCATGGGGACGAGACGTTAAGCAAGTTGTCAGTTTGCTGGAGTGGCGCTGCCATTGCCACCTCTATCGTATCAAGTCTTTCCGATTTCATTCTGGGAGTATTTCGATTATTATTACGATTTCATACTTTAGTACTGGGAATTCAATGCATAACAATAATACTTGTCTCGGTCTCGAGTTCAAGTTTCACTTTAAAATTTCTAGACGTCTTCAACGTAGAAAATGCACATGGATGTCTATCACAACAGCGTAAATTGCTGCTTAGTGATGATTTGACATTTCGTTTAAAAGCTAATTTCGTAGCAGTTTACAAATGGCGATACCTACTATACATTATGTACACATAACTTATCTGGAAAAAATAGCGAGAAAAAGTTTCTCCTTAATGGATAATACGTTTGTGAGATGTACGATGACAAGCCTGACAACGTGACGGCAGGTGAATGCGTAACTCTACCATTAATGGCTTGTGTAATGGACACTTGCCACACAAGAATTAAAATGTATACACACGAACCTATTATCGTTAAATTTCAAAGCCACCTTTTTTCTTTAATTAGATTGTTCACAAATCAACGACTTCAATAATAATAAAGTATTTATTAAAATACTTTTCCTAACCATTGATCCCATCGTAAAGTTCTATAAAGGACATGGGGCATGAATAGGTTTTGTTCAAAGTCGTCAGTTTACAAAATATTTGACTTGCGATGATTAATAATCTATTCTACTTCTTATGGAGCCTTAGGGTAGCGTGTTCACTTATGCAGTTGTGAATCAAAGAACACGAGTTCACAGGTGGTTAGCCTCAAATTGCAAGTGTTGCCGGAAATCTCGACGGATCTTGGCGGAATGCTAATTCTTGCTTGTCGTTTCAAAAGTCCTTTTAGTGCAGATTGAAATGTTAAAAGCATCACTTGTGTCCATTGGCGTGCACAATGGAGTTTTGTTAGAAAATGTGAATACTTGATATTAAGTAATGAAATTTGACGCTGATAAGCAATAACATATCAACCAACTTGACCATAGTTTTGCGAAAATGTCACTTAATATTTATTACGTTGTTTTTGACGGTACTAAAATTTACTTGTAAAATGAAAACTTTTGCTGTCGTGCTTGTTATGATTGTTATTGTTCTTGGGGAATTATAGTAATAAATCACAACAATTCATAATTCCTAAGGTGACAGCAGCAAAAGTTTTCATTTTATAAGTAAATTTTAGAACAAACTATCAAAAAACAATGAAAAAATATTTGTGTTATTTTCGCAAAACTATAGTTATATTGGTTGACATGTTATTACTTATCAGCATTCAATTGTGGTGTATGTTCTTTTGTTATGAAATAGAATTATGGACCTTTGTAACTAACTCATGAACAATTTATAGACAAAATTTCATCAGTAGGCACGAACTTCGAACAGCTGTAGCGGAATGCACGAATGTGGGTCGTACGCTAAGCATGAGTGAAAAAGATCATATAAAATGTTTTTACGGAGTTCACATAACAAGTTGCGATAATGTACATATATATAAGACTCGCAATACCAAAACGATAATAGATCAATAAAAAGACACTGTCATGAATCGACGCCAAAATGTAGAATATGCAGGGTACGAAGGGTAACATCAATAACGTTATATAAATTTATAGAAAGATTAGCAGCTTTTGGTCCATTATACAAGTATAGAAACAGCAGCAACACATGCAGTGGTGACATTGGGACGTAGTTCAATTACAAAGTATTATTTGCTTTTTTGAACACTTTGGGACAGTATGTAGCTGCCGCATGGCCCTTAACTCTCGTGATTATGGATCATGCGCACGCGTTGCGATATCGTCGCCCTACCATTTGCGTGGGAAATATACGAGGCGCATAGACGTAACACTACCACTACACAAAATGTGGTCACCGCCACTTGCTATTGACTAGGCTACTTGTTCCCTGCATTTAGCACCTCTATTAAAATCCCCTTCCTTATGATTTTCGCACGCTGCTAAAACGTAGAAACCTAGTGCATTTACAGACGGTCATAAATACAATAGTTTCGTAACTGAACATAGCTTTTCTTTCGCAATGCTTTTAATTATTTTAGCTAGATAGACGCTTTTAATGGCCGTTAAAATGCATACAATTGCGGTGTGCGGAACAAACGTCGAATAATTTATGACATTAGGCCCAGCAAAAAAGCGACTACCTAATTACTCATTATTTGCAATTGTGAAGATGTGTACTGTTCTTTTACAATTTAATTAGATCTGCACGTAAATTAAAAATGTTTAAATTTAACTGCTCCACGTAAGCGAGTTAGCGGGCGATATCTTTAAGACGCAGGAAGCCAGAAGTAAACAGCCATTTCTGTGAAAGCAAACCAACTAGAGACGAAAGGGCGTTTTCAGATTTGTAAACGTATTTCCGAGTGAAGAGGCCGACTTCCGAGATGCAATATAAATAAACTTGCTTTTCATACCAGAATTTATGTTTACGAAACAACGGTAGTTACTTGGCGGCGAAATGCTCTGCCTGCAAGTGATTGGTTACAAACTACCTACCCTCGTTTCATTAATTTCAGGAAAACCGTATGTAAATTTTTCATAATCCACACTTTCATTCAATACGAGCATCTATATAATGTATTTTAAAATACACAGATGCACGATTGAATTATTACGAAATTTCAGCAAGCAATAAATGAATGTTACACATAAGTGAGAAGGAAAATTAGTTTTTTATTTTTGTATTAATATATATAAATAAATTAGTGTCAGACAAAACTAGAATCTTGTAAGTTGCGCAACTGTTATTGAGTGCAGCAAACACAAAATGTCAAGAAATCACATCGGAAGTCACTATGTCTACAAAAATGCATTTCATATTGATATTGAACAGTTTTCGCGTAAAGCTATTTATGAGACGCTAAACAGGTAGTGAGAGCCATGGTTTAACAAATTAGAGAGCAATAAGTAATAATTGAACAAACGAAGCCGCGTTTTTCTAGTGTAAAGAAGAAACTTGAATCAAATGTTGTAATGGGTCGATGTTGAAACAGGGAAGTTGTGGATTGTTTGACGTTCACCGCGTCGGAGTCGGATGGCCGGACGGCGTCTTCGTCTGCTAACTTTAGTGTGTCTACGGTTTGCTGCTTAAGTGGACACCCTGTGATTAAGTGTAAGTAAACATCCAGATTTGTCCTTATTATCAGATGGAAACCGTTGAATTCAGTATAAACAAATGAAAAACTTTTTGTTCTCTCGCTACGCATTCGTTCTCTACGTGACTCCTAGTTATCTCCATTTGCTACAGTTAACAGTAGCGGTTTCTGTTCTGTGTGCGTCAACGAGTTTATTACGCAAATTTCTAACAAACGAACAATTGATTCAAGTGAAGTGTGTAAATTGTATATAAAACACTTTTAAGCCTTATTTTAAACCCCTTTTCTTAAGGCAATGTTTATAGATTTTAACTTGTTTATAGCCCATCTGTTGACGCTAGCCCTCTGGTAGGGAACATCTGTAGGGAAACAGGAGTAACCAAGTACTCGAAGTAAAAAAAACAAAACAAGAGGCGCGGAAGCGACAGCGCACGCGCGGTTCAGTTTTGACGCGCGGGCGGAGGGTGGCCGCATCGACTTAAGCGAGGGTTCTTGCTCGCGCGCGCTCAGTCAGCTGACGACTGTCGTAACGCTCGTACATTAAGCTCATCCCCGAGCCGGTCCGCTCCCGCTATCGAGTGTTAACTAACATCTTCGTGTTTTGCGACTACAATGGCCACCTACGCCCAGTTCAAGCACGTCGAGCTCTACAAGATCGGCCACGGAAAGAACAGGTTAGCCTTCTAATTTTTGCATAGCGCTGCTTTGCGGTTGCGTAGGGATGCTGCTTCAGGAGCGGTCTCCGCAGATCTTCGATTTCTTTGTTTTAGGAAAGGTCAAGGGTTAACATCTGTTAGTTCACCAGTATATATATGTTTTTTGGAAATTGGTTATAACTTGTTTATCTTAACTTTTTGAAATATTTATTTGTTACTTAAGCTCGGCGTTTTTATTTTGAGAAATTATGGATGATAAAATGTATGTTTTGACTAAATAGAGAAAACCAACGAATATAAATTTGTACAACGTTAAATTTTGACAGATTAGAAATTCGAAATGTGGATCGGTAATAAATGTGCATATTAATGGAGAGTAATACATGCAGGTTTTTCCAATGTTAGACCTCATTGGCCTAGATCATTGTACTGCATTTGGGCAAACGGCGAGCGTTGATACAGGTGCGTTGAACTCTCCGCGCCGCCGCCGTTGTAATGCGGAGGTCACGCTCGCGACTCCTTCAGCTTTCAGAAGTTTCAGCCATCTGCTGCCTCTTGCCTCTAATATAATGATGTAGTTCTTTTAGTCAATTCCTCTATGAAATGATGATGTATATTTCATTCAAAAATGGATATTTCTAAATTTCGTGTTTGATCCATGTTAAGTTGGAAAGATTTTATTGAGGTCTATAAATGGAATATTTTATAACTTACAAATTATTTCACATATTTAAAATTTAAAAAGTCAACTTAAATACTAACACCTTTTCCTGTGTTCCTAACGTAAAGCTATATATACATTTCAAACTTATCTTAGCACTTAGCCGAAATTTATTACCATTAATATCCTTAACTGTTGCCCTCAATCCAAAAATCTGTGTCGTGGGCACTTTTTCCTTGAATTAAAATTTTCTTCCTCGTTAGAATAATTAGCTAGCTGTATAATTTATGGATTTATTTAATTTAATGCGTGTTTATCTGCAAGCGGAACATGACAACTAAATCGATATAATAAGTTTAAATCTGTTTATTTGGTTGAGGTTGCAAGTTTCAAATAGTTATAATAAATATGATAACTAACAACATATATCTATTGAAGAGGAACAACACCTTGAGTTTTTTACTTATTATTTTTACGGAAACCTACCTTAAGAAAGAGTAGTAGTATTTACTCATTTTGATGATTTCTAGTGTCATTTTTCTTATGATATAAAAGATAATATTTTTTTTAAATTGAACTATGTTGTCAGTAAATGGTTTACATAAACCGCTGAAAAATATTTATTTGCATTTGGAATATTTAGAAATATAGATTGGATATTATTACGTTGAAACACGCGAATATTATAAAGTGATTTCGTGATATTGTAGATGTGACAGAAATTGGTTTAAAAGTAAAGTCAAATAGTGATAATACTATATATAGCATGAAATTTTGCAATAATATAATATTATTTGAAATTCATAACAGATTATTAAAAATTAACTTTGACACGTTACGTTTCTAACGTAGTAGTTTATGTTGCACACTTAACGTTCTTCAAAATGTTTATTCAGCATTTTCTTGCGAAAGACAACAATAACAAAAGTAGATAATTTTGTCAAAGCGTCTGCGAAAGTTTCCTTACTGTATATGGGCATCTCATTTTGATTTGTTAGCACAAATATTCGTTTTTATATATCACAATATGATATAAATGAATAATAATATAATATATTATCAAACACTCGCAAGTTTTTTTTTATGATATCAAGAGTAGGGATGAACAAGCCGCATGGCTTGTTGTAAACGACACGTCTATTATAAACAACTGCAGTGCCACTCAGAGATTTATATTGCAAAGATCTGAGGAGCACGGCCACTGCGCCTGTCACCGTGAGATATAAAGTTAACAAGTCCCATGTGCCTGTAGTGTGCACCATTCACATAGGAATATAAGAATACGTAAGCATTTCAAAGGACCAGATAGCAGTTATAGATTAATTGCGATAAAGTTCGAATCATGTGCAGTTGAAGTGACTAATTTCCGCTTGAACGATAATGGAAATATAGCGGGTCCCAATATTCTAGAAGATGTGTGTAGTCGGGCCAGCGCAGCGTGTGGATTGAAGCTCTCTAGTTAAAGATAAATCTGTCGGTATTAATTATAAGGTGCAATAAATAGTCCCATAGAAAACTATTGCTTCATTTCTCGAAACTTCTTCCTTATTTGCCAAGATATCTACGTATAAAAGCCGTTACCTGTGATGTCTATGGGTAAAGGAACTTTCTGGAAAAGAAACCTAAACACAACGAATGAAATCACTTACCTCCAGTAGTAAACACAATTTTGACTAAATATGGAAGCAGTGATATATTTATCACCAACACTAACGTTATGTGAAATTGAATAACCATACATTAAAACAATATATGGTGGAACTAAACATGGCAGTACTTCATGAATATGTTTCATATATAAACGATTTTCCTGAATACCGTGTTACTTATTGGTCAACCTTTGGACGGTGTAAACTAAGCGTTAAAGAGGAAAAACCAATAGGCTCTGTGTTTTATATTACGGTATCACGAAGCATGCACTATTATTAGCAAATCCTCTATTTTCGCGATCATGTCCAATGAGATGCTCCAATATATATTTAGGTAATTTAATTACACATTGTATTATTGCCTTATATGAAAATATATACTGGGTACGTAATTTGCAAATTTATGCGTATGCGTTTTATTACTACCACGGTGCAAATAAAGAACAATGAAACTTTGTTTACGTGAAAAATTTGTTTTTAGCCTGTCTGTAGTAAATACACAGGTATTTTCTAATACCAAACTCTCTCTTTCGTATGGTTGTCGTTAAGGGCTGAACGGCACAGGTCGCGTGCCGGCCTCAAACATTTGCATATCCATAGGAAGCCTGTGATTACTCCAGCCTACAGACAGACGCACACTTACACCTTTACGACGTCCTTTAACTTAGAATTCAATTCCACAGGGTGTCTTAGACCAACTAAACGCCAAATGACATTAATTTCAACGTTTGGTCGTATTCTTTACTTGGAATCGTTTAAGTTTCACGTCACTCGATCTACTGCAAATATAGTACACGTCGTTGCAATATTCGCCCTGTTTACTGTACTTTTTCACTCTGTTTACTTTATAAATCACCCTTTGCAATTGTAAGGCCCTAGCAGCGACCTTGGGGCACCCCTCTACGAAAATTAGTAGGCATTAAATATTTATGTTTCCTACCATCAATTTACATAAGGCTTAAAAATAACGTTGAAACATTACAAAGCATGTAAAAGCGTGAAGTCATCAATGAGTTCTGAGACGAGGAGTGAAAGTAATGAAAGGTTTTTGCAAACAAGTTTGACGTTATCGCTGTGAGAGGACCATAAAGTATCAATTGAATCGCGCCGATGTCCGATACGGAGCTACATCGCTTTTAGCAGTCAAGTCGTTAAAATATCATAAACTGCTCACCGGGAACATCGAGTTCGACCATAAATTACAACGGTTATAGTCTCGTGTCCGACATGCTAATAGTTTATAATCAGGTGACATGCCCGTATTTATTCTATTGGCCGTATAGCCTCCCATCGATGATACTAAATATAATAGAAATAATCGGTAGTAAGTCGGCAAACAATGACTCTTTTATGATGCTATTGACATTGTTTGATTGAAAAGGGCTCCTATGAAATTCCAAAGCGAAACCTTGTGGCCAACAAGCGCTTTTGTGGTTTCTTAATCCTGCATCATTCTAAAGTGTGGAATGTGTACGCGATTTAGAATTGTGCATCTGCCATATATAACAACCTTGTTGCAACTAGCGATGTACCCTATGTCGTTGCTTAGCCACGGACAAAGGAATGGTGAAAATCCTGCATTTACACCCACAGTAAATGGCCTGGATGTCACTTAGCAAACTAAGAAATCTGTCAATAAGCGCGAATCATAATTTCCTTAATCGGATCTTATCTCTTACATTAACTGTTTTATTATGCATGCTATCAGTAGTATATGTAGTCTTATTTTAATAAATTGAGTTCCTATTTGCAATGAAAACATCATTGTTTATATTTGGTAAACAGAGTCCGATACTTCTTTGACCAATAATAAAAACATAATATTAATATTTGAAAATACTGTTGTGTAGTCAACATTACATTTAGTGCAGAGGTCGTTTCCTGCCTTTTCAATTGACTCTGGCAGTTTAAGTCATAAATAATGAATTTAAAAAAAATAAAACGGCTCAATAGAAACCGTACGATACGACCGCATTAAAACGATAATCGACGCGAAAAAAACCTTGGTAGCAACGACTCTACGACACCGGATCACCTCTGTTCGACATATTTCTTTTGCTGTGTAGTTACGTTTTAATAGGAGTAACACTCTTATTTTTGTTCTACTTATCATTGTATATGCCGTTATTGTACAAGTGAAAAAAAAACCCTATAAATAAATTTATTTATTTAATTTATCGGTAACTATTCATTAAAATAAATCTACAATTAACATACCCAACTATGTAATTTCGTAACCAAGTGGGACAGAATCATTTGCTGGTAGTGCTCGATCCTTCACGTTTCCATAAAGCACACTAAGCAGTTTTATAAAAGAAGTATGTGTCGTGAAACAAGGTCACCAGTAGCGTGCGTTTGCAAAATTTATACATAAAAAAAGCAGATGTACTTGTCGTATTACTGTATAATAGTGGATTCGTGCTGTTTCGCTTCAAATGAAAAATGTCGCTCAATGATAAATGACATCGTAAACTACCGTAGAGTTGTGGTGATTACCTCTATGACTCCCTAAAAAAAGAAAAACTTTGAACAGTTTAGTAAAACGAACATATTCTAATACATTAGTGAATCTAGGAGGTTGCCATTAGTGGCTTAAGATTAGTGTCGTGAGAGCACAGTGTCGCGGTCACACGTCGAACTAAAAAAACATTAATGGGAAGGAGGCTGGACTTTCTCCCTGCATCAATCACGGCAAGAGTATGTTAGTG